CAAACTTCGTATATGGAATTCTTCCCAGCATCACATGCTGTGAGGAGTTCCTGCATACTATGCAACCGTGCTGTTGTGTTGCGTCAGAATCTGCTGAAGCTGTGACTGCTGATTTTCTGCTGATGTACCGGTGTCTTGCCTAGATCCTGTGTTATTTAACTAATGTTCCTGTTCCTGATTTGTTACCGACGTGCCTGTGTTTACTACCCATCTTTGTTTTGTCCCTGATGATGTCCTGAGTCTCCTTGCTCCAAGAAGTGTTCAACATGTTCAACAAGGTTCCAGCCATTGAACATTGTGACAACCCACCTGACCCAACTTGCCACCTTGATTAGATCAGAAATTACTTCGTTGACCGAGGAGGATTCATCTGAAATTTGATGCTAAAAGACATTTGATCTTTATCTGATTGAACATTTAATTATGAAACTATATCGGACATTGATTTTAAAATTATGTGCTGAGGTTTATTCAAGAACGTGTTACATTTACATTGTACATGTGCCTCTCTGTTTTGATTAAGATGAACACTAGACAGCCTTGCTTGCCATTCAGAAGCCTTTGCCATTAGTTAAAAACATGAGTTCAAAAGATAGTGGAACGCAGTCTTCTGTTGATCTGTAGTGATTGATAGCCAAGCTTTATTTCATATTGTTTAACCTTCACTTATGAGACGCCTCTTCCTATGGAAGTTGCATCTGGGAGGAGGGAGTGTAACGGGACAATTTACCAGTCTATGTAGAATTGCATTATGGGAAGGCAAGTCTCATGGCTTGTCAAGATGGCTCCAGTGAGTTGATCATTTATTGGAATACATGTAAATGTGATTGTTGTTGATTGTAATTTATGAGCCTCTGCTGATGTTTCTCATTCCCACATCGCCATTCGAACCTGTGGTGACGGTAGACGCCGATACAGGACATGCACATCCGGGACATCATGTACATGTACATTACAGACCTACATGATCAATGATCATGCATGCCATGTACCTGACATGCCTGGCCCATACGTATTCATCATAACAGGTACACGCAACTTATGACATTTCCTATTTTGCCACCACACAAAACCCAATATATTCAAATGCTGATTTCTTCAAAATATTCAGTAAAAATTAGTCATGACAGACAATAAGAAGCTTACAGAGTTACATGTGAATCAAAATATTCTGCAGAAATCATCCGTTTGTACATTTTAATTGTCTGAATTTGGGAGGTGAATTTTCTGTCAGGAGTCCCAGTGTACATGTACATCCATTGTGAGTTTAACATGTTAAATTTGACTTTGACGCAATCTGACCCAAATCTCGTTTTCTTTCAAATGCTCTCACAAATTAAACTCTAGAGGGCAGCAAACACAACAAATTGTCAGAGAAAGGTTCAGGGTGCCTTTTCTGCTTTTTTTCAAGGAGAAAATGGTCCAGGTACGGCAACAATGGAGAATTTTCAATGCTTTTTCGACACAGTGTTAAAGAGTTTTAGATTTACATGATATTCAAGGTTAAAAGTGGAAGGAAACATCATAAAAACCGTATAAATATACATGATGAAGTTTTTTCTACAAGATGAGTAGTAGATTATTGCCTAACTCAGAGTTGCATCTTATATGTACGTACAGAGAGAAATGTGAAGGCAGTACGCTTACTAAAATTTAATCTGCATTGAGAATACAGTGCATAACATATACTAACATACATGCACATCACATGCAATGTACATGTACTTCAGAGGAACTGCCTGAGAGCACGCATCTTTGCACAGATATTTTTTTCTCAACCACTTTCATCCATGTCCTTCTAAAGGCTTTTCTTTCCAAACAAGCAAATTTTACATGCTTCCCCTGGTACATGTACGTGTAATTGGTAATACATGTAGCTGTTTTTTTTCTGCGGTTGCAATGAGAGGCCATCCACTGTAACTCTCTCCTTTGATTGTTGTTATGGAGTCCGTGGTCATCCTTCATTCCACAACATCCAGTATGACGGCGATGATGAAAAATTCACAGCATCAAGTCACAAGATGGAATGGCTACTTCGCCTTGTCTCCTCCAACTCATTGATAAATGGCTGTCTATTCTTCCTGATGAATTCGAGGATGAAGAAAAGCAGGAAAGGTAACTTTTAATTCTTAAAACGTTTGAACAGGACCACAGAAATATCACTCCAGAATTATTTTCAAAAGGTAGAATTTTGTTGATACGCAGCAATGTTTGTTTCTAACCTTCTAGTTTCTTTATCCCTAAATGGTGTTTTCCACATACAGGTATGCAACTTTTCCTTGGATCAGCTGATTTTCTTGTTTTTCACTTCAAACTGGTCCCATTAGGAATTGAAAAACACTGTACAAAATGTTGGAAATATTGGAGTTTCCTCGTTTTCGGTTTTGTCAAAGTTGCATGCCTGCACATAACATGCCATGTTCACTGACTACCTTGGCACTTGCATACATGTACTTGGAGAGCCGTTATGAAGCACACAACAGTGGCAGCAGGTTGTATTGTGAACACTGCGACAATTTTGTATCGAGGGCTAGGGCTACACGCTGCATACATGTCACACTTGTGTCAGTTCTTCAGTTGGGTAATCTTCTTTTGTCATCCAAATATCTTTCCTATTTTATTTTGTAGATAAGGTGTCTTTTATTGATTATGAATATGCCGGCTACAACTATCAAGCCTTTAATATTGGGAACCATTTCTGTGAATTTGCAGGTGAGTGGAATTGCTTCAGGTTGTGTCCAAAGAGGGTGCGCTCAATCCAACATATTGTTTTGTTGTGGTGGTCATTTGAAGTTCAAGACTGCACACACTGTATGTGCCGGCCTGCCTACATGTACATTGAGCACAGCAGTGGAGAGGTATCAAGTTTTGGCTGAGCTGTGATGCCACTTTTTTGGTTTAACTTTAGTTCATGGTTTTCAAGTCTTATTTAATTTTTTATGTTGGTCATGTTTTTTTAAGGGTTGATCAGTTCTTTTGGTTTTGACACTTACATGTAGAATTGGTGTGTGAGTCCCGTGTGATTCAGTTCCCTGCAACTTTGCTGTTAAAGATTCTTCAATACAGTTAAAAGATAATTGATGACTTGATTATGTTTATCTCTTCTAAAGATTCTTCAGTTAGTTTGAGTTTCTCTCGTTGTGATAGCTTGCTGTTTTTCCAGGTCAGCCTTGTAATCGAATGCACCCTACCGGTATACGCCTGCATTGCATTGGCACACTTTGATGCTGGACCCCACACCTGCATACACACCTGGCAGCTGGCAATCAGTTAAGAGATGACTGGACGATGGAGACATGCAAGTCTGGATATGACATCATGCACATGTACATGTAATTGACACCTGCTAACCCTTCTGATTTGATAGCAATTAGGCAGCTGTGGTGGCTTCACCCTCCACCCATGAAATGGAAAAAAAGAGGGTAAGAAATTTATTGAAGGGGGGAGGGAGGCTGCATGGGGTGGAAAGTGATGGATGGTGTTATGTCACTGTGTGTGTGAGGGGGAGATAACCTTCCCCTCCCTTATAGGGTCAGGAAGATCAGGCATAAATTGAATAATGGTCTGCTTCAGCTGAAAATCTTTCCTTATTTAAAATAAAGTTGAAGTTGCCAATTGGTGCAGCCTTCAAAAAACAGGTACAGTTCTGTGTTAAGTTCTGTTGTCTTAGAGAACTAAATTAAAAACTAAAGAGACTGCACAGTGCCCGATGTTATACACTTTACATGAGGACAAATATTTTCTGGCCGAGAACATAACCAATAGTAAACCTGTCTTGGGGTGTAATTTCCCCCAAAAGTTTTTGATGAAAGCCACAATTTTGAATCTTTGAAAAGTTTTTTGCATCTCCTTTCAATAAAAATGACAACATGAAAACGAATCTTTGTCTTTTATAAAGAAAATTTTTTATTATAAATGGATGAATCAGTTAAATAATGTTATGACTGTTTTAATTTCACAGATCAAGCCCCTTATTGTCATAATATCTGCTCTTGCAACATTGATGAAGGTCCAAGCAAGACGGTCAGATGGTGGAATCAAAAAAGGCCAGCAGTCTACAACTCTTAGAAGAGGAGTTTAAACAAATAGGTGAAAACTGCAGATATCACTTTGCAAATACTAACCTTGACCCTAGCCCCACAGATGAAAAAGTCTGATGTACTTCATGTATAGCCGTGTTCCCACTGGACTTTTTCTTCCTGACAAAGACAAAGATAAAATCAGACAAATTTGGCAAAATCTGCACAAAGACGACAAACTCGTATAGGAAAAGCCCAGTACACAATGTGTGTATAGCTATATCCGGGCACACCTCACTGTGTGTGCGTGGCATGCTGCTGTACTGTGCTCATGGAGCTGAAGGCTGGGAACCATACAACCATTTTCTCTGTGTAGGCAGTTGTCTGGTTCGTATGTTTAGCGTGGTCTTGGTCAAGTTACATTTACTTTTGCGCCCCTGGTAATTTACCCTGGCTGCACGTAAATCTTTGGCGACCCTTTTCGGCCTGTTAATTTTACATCACGCTCGTGGCAAGTTGACAGGGACGATAGTTTACCGTGTTTTCCCATTGGATTTGATTTTGTAATTCTACAGGAAAGTCGCAGTAAGTTAACCAAAAAAGTCTGATGGAAATGCGCCTCGTGATGCACTGGGCAATCAACAGCAGCCAAACGAGCTGGTCATGTTGAGACAATGGGAGCTGGTCTCCTTGAACAATGCCACTGTTGGATCTTGTGGTGACTGGTAACCAAAGACTCCTAGGCTGTTTGGCTTTGAGGAGAGTTGACCTGTAGGATCTTGTTACACTTGACTTTGACAAATGATGCAGACTGATGTGTCTGGCGGGGTTTCTAGCTAAACTACCCTGAACAGTTAGGGTTAATATACTGTGCTTGTTTAATTATGAAAATGGCTTTGAAATCATTCCTATTAATTGACAGAAATGAGGCCTTTCTATTTCTCCATTCCATTTAACTTTTTCTTTATTGTTAGGGCACTTGTTGGCAAGTGGATAGAAGCAGAGATGGTAGTGAGAGTGGAAGAAACGTGCTGTCCATCCAGGAGGAGTTTGTCTTCTGCAGTGACTGTAAGTTGTCTTTATAAGTATTGAAGATGATGTTGAGGCCATACATTGATGTCACAGACACATGCACAAAGTAACGTTAAGGCAATATTGAAGATTTCAAATATAGTCACTCAAGCCAATAGGGTCATAAGATATTACCTGAACCAAATCACTTTCAGGTTTGACAACTTAATAATCACCATTATGCAGTTAATTGTTGAGTGTGTATCAACTAGAACTTGTATGTCAGATTGATTTGAAACTCCATATCTGTATTGATAAGAAGTGGTTTACATGCACGCTGAGTGTTGAAAAAAAATTGGGCTTGGGACAGCCAAGATCTTGGCTGTGAGATGGTACAAAATAACCCGGGTTTAACACTGGAATAAAACTGACAGAACTTGACTTCATTGATTGGTTTCTCCTAGCAATCCTGGCAGGAGGAATCTACCTTGTTGTGCTGCATCAGAGGCTCCGCTATAAAATGCTGACCAACCATAGAGGGCGCTACTACCATTCCATGAAGCCTACTGCATGTACATCACACAATGGTAATGGAAAAATTAAAGGGAAAAAAGAACTGAACATCGCCTTAATGGCAGAGTGGTGATGGAAAGAGGAAAACAGAACTGAACACTTCCTTAATGGCAGAGTGGTAATGGAAAGAGGAAAACAGAACTGAACACTGCCTTAATGGCAGAGTGGTAATGGAAAGAGGAAAACAGAACTGAACACTG